TGACCAAGGATGAGGTCATATGAGGTCATGCACAGCCATGCACAGCAGGTCACCTGACCATCCAATCCTTCCAGCAGGTTCCAGCACATGCCAAGGTATACCAGCTACTTCCATGTCATAAAGGCTTAGTCATGTCTCTTGACCAAGCAATGAGCTGGTGCCCTGACAGCAGGTTGGGCATGAGCAGAGTGTGCCCAACTCTCCAATGCATTTGTCAGCAACTTCTTGAGGTGCCTGAATCTCTTCCTCCATAGAGTCAATAGCATAGGTGGCCCACTCATATGTGTGGTCCATATGATCTTCCTCCTGCAAACCTTGACCCACAGGTAGATCATTTATTGGACCAACAGCTTGGCTGGAGTGCAAAACCACTCAACTGGCTCATGCTGCAACTACTGCACTATGCTTAGCATAATTCTTAGAAGTCCACAATAGACTGCTCAGCCATCCCTCAGTCTTACACAGCAAGCATTGACAGCATATGGTTCCTCAGGGGGTAGAAACCCACAACCCAGTGCTTGACAAACCAGCAGCAATCTTGGCATTGTTACATTGACTGGAAAACCCATTAGGATCATCTATGTCTTAAAGACTGAACAATTTTGGTGCACCTTGTCATATCCCTCTGTCCCAAATACTTAGATTCTGGGTTATCTGTCAGTAATATAATCTAGTACAGGTTGACCAGTGGGAAAGTGTTGCTGATGCCTACAAACAGGTTAGCAGATGAGGAGCAAAATCGCTCCTTCCCATAGCAGAAGGTCACCAGGGTCTTTTGCCGTCACTGCTACCAGTCCCCAATGTGTTGATGAGGACAGATATTCACATGAGATTAACAAGATGGATGTAGGAGTGAAAGGCATATCTTACATATGAACCCAAAAACCGGGCTACATATATGTAGGGTACAACTTCAGAGGCAGGTGGCCTGTATTGGGTCAATGCAGGTCAAAGATTTCTGAATGAGAGTAATAAGTTCTCTTGGGCCATCAAGGCCTGACATACAAAGCTAACATGGTGCCCTTGCAGGCTAGAGTACTACTTGTAAGCAGGAAGACCAGCCCAATGGAAGCACAAGGATAGGAGGAGGGGTAGGAAATGGTGGAAGGAGACCATAGGAGACCTTAAGAGTGGGGGAGGGAGAGCCCTACCCCACTCTAGAAACCTAATCCAACATGATGAACTTGCCGTCCCATTGCTGCCCTTGTCCTCTCCTCCTCATCAAGCTTCTTCCTTGCTGTCTTGCATGCTGCAGCTTCCATCACATGTGGATCCAGGTTGTAACAGGCTCTGAGGGGTGTATGCTTATGAGGGCAGGGAGGAGACGGAGGTGTGGAGGTGTGTTGGGAGTGGGTGTTTGGGAATGTGGATACAGAAGGAGCGAGGTTGGAAAACTCCTTGGGAATATGAAGAGTCAAATAGAAAGGCAGAAAGTCCTCCCACCTTTGGTAGGTAGGGAGAAAGCCAGGGCTAGGTGTGCAGCTTGGAGGCACAATATTATTGTTGAGGTTGGTCAGACTGATGTTAGATGAAGTTGAGTCAGTTGAGTTCTGAAATGTCGAGTATGCTGGAGGAGGAGAATCAGGGAAGGTATTGGCATGGCTGTTGAAGCAGTTCTGCTCAGACTGTGCAGAGCTGTCAGAGTCCAAGGCTTGAGTGGTCACAGTGTCAGTGACCAGGCCATCTTGCAGGCAGACAGTGGGGGTGCTCTCTCACAGGCAAAGAGCATGAGGAGTTGTGTAGTTGTACCAGCTGAGGGAACTTGCAGGACTGTCAAATTCCAAGGCTGGAGCCACATTGATGGTGGCTGTACTCTCCCACAGGCTGAGAGTACAGTCAACAATGCCTGCATGATTGGTGGATGTTGTTGAAGGGGTAGCAGCAGTGTCAGCTGCTGGGGTCTTCCACAGGCTAAGACTGACTGGAGTTGTGAAGTTGTAGTGACTGATACGAGATCTGATGATGTTGAGGCAGCCCTGAGCAACCTCACTGGTTGCTTGCTTGGGGCTGCCACCTCCATACCTTGCTCAGTTGGAGGGAAGATCTGTTACAAAGTAAGCTTGCCACGCACAATATGTGACCAATCTGTATGCACCAATGTCCTCAGAATGTGGCAAGCAGCAGCTACTGACCAAGATACTCATGGTATGCAAGATACCACTTGAGAGTTCCAGCATGTGAGACAGTGGAAGAGGCTACAGAAGATGTATGCCCAAATTAATTAGTATATTTATCTTCATGACAATGACTTACTAGGTATGATAAATTCAGTGAAGAGTAGTAATCAGAGGGTCAAGAGATATTTGATAGTGATTGGTGTAAGCAGAGTTGTTCAGGAGAGGGGTTCAGATGATGAGCACTGACCCTTTCCTGTTGAGCTCAGGATCTTTGAGATCAGTTCTGGGCCTGATAAGGCGAGAGAAGACTCAGGGTGCTGAGCATCAAGAATAATTCAGTCTTCATCATCATTGTTGTCAAGTGTTTGTTGTGCTCATGCTCAACAGTAACTGGTACTTTGTTTCCTCTGCTTTTCTCTACTCCTACTCTGCCCTATTTACCATGGAATGTGCCCCCTCCTCCCCCCTCCCCTTCTCCCCTACCCAGCATTGCCCCAGCCTCATGTTGTGCTGGCATGAGCCTCATGCTCAGCCAGTACAACTACACAAATCCTCATGCCAGGATACCAACCATATCCCAGGAAAAGTGGCCATAAAGCTCCAAAACCCAGACAAAGGCACATGTATTTGTGTGGTACTCCTAAATCAAAATAGGGGCCATTCTAAACCTCAGACCCATGAGCCCAGACCCACATGTGGGTCACCCTTTTCCTTTTAGTCTGCATGCTCACCCTCTCTTCTTTCCTAACAATGATCATCAAGCATGGACTCATATGACATTGACTCCACTCCGTCCTTGCCTATCTCTGCCAATGACTCCACCACTTCCCTCCTGGCAATGCTCAACACCATCCACCAGGAGTTGAGCAATGTGAAGCTCGCAGAGGACATCCTCCACCCCTCATGCAAGTCAAGCACAAGCTTGAAGAAGCCCTTGGTTTCTGGAAGCAGTCATGATGATGACCACATATATGCACACCATAGAGAAGGTGCTGAAACTGGAGGAAGTGGAGGAGGAAGCAGGGAGATGGCAGATGGTGAGCTGAAGGCTGCCATCATTTCTGTTGTTCATAGGGTGGAGATTCAGGCTGGAGAGCCTGTGCTGGTGGGAGGGGTTCCCTTGATTGGGCTGTTGGAGACAGGGGGGATGGAAGAGGTGAGTTGTGTAGTTGTCCTGACTGAGATGGTCAGTACAAATACATCTAATGCTAACCTATCTACAGGATCTTTTCCAGCCACCCAGCATCCATGCAGCCAGGCCAGAAGACATGGCTGCCACTGTTGCACCCCCAAATCCCAACAATCCCAAACCAGGCAGTCCTATGTTCTTGTGAGCTCTGACAAAGGAGGAGCTCCTAGATGAGAAGATGCCTGAATATCTGCTTGGGGTGCTGTTTGACAAAGAGTTCAAGGAGGAGCTTGAATGTATCAAGGAGCTGGCTTTCGAGTTGGGAAAGCTGATCTGCCACAAGGAGATTGCAGAGGAGGAAGAGAGGAAGTTGAGGGTGCTCACCAGGGAGTGCAAGGTGATTCATGATGGTGTTTGGGCAAAGTATGTTGATCGCAGCAAGAAGTCGATCAATCAGGAGCATGCTGCTCAGAGGGCAGCAATGAAGAAGAGTCTTGCTGATCACAAGAGGCTCCTTGCCCTCAGCACTCATGAGAAGAAGGAGAAGGTGTTTCCCTTCATGGGGAAGCTCCTCAAGGAGTATGGGCTGTCTGCTGGGAAAGTGGCATGTAAGTGATTCAATTTGATTTGTATACTGCATTACTGATTGCTATACTAGTAAAAATTGCCCCTGATATCATCAACCAGTTGACACAGAACTAGTGAGCTGAGGGCTAGGAGGACAAAAGGGGGGAAAGTGTGGGTTATAGCTAGCCATTGGTGAACTGTTTAGATAAGGATACCTTTGCAATATTAAACTGGTACCAACCATCTTGGTCGGTACAACTACACAACTCACCTGGCCCTGCCTAATTTGTACTGATGAAGCTGGACTCAACATGAATTATTGCAGCTGACTAACTTGGTACAAGAGAGTAGAGAACAGACTACCTATCTATGGCAATGTTGCATTTATCAGAGGTCACCTGGTCTTGACCTTGATCCAGGACCCTCAAGGCTGCCTTTACTCACCTGTCTTGACTCAATAAATTACCACGCAAAACACGGTGAAGGACGTGCCTCTCACGTGAAGTCAGGTGGCAGTGACTACGTCATCGGTCAGATTTTTGGGTATGAATGTGCAAGTTACATAACTCTGATAACTCTGAGACATTATGATCAGACACTCCCATCAAAATCGTCCTTGGCTGCAGTGAGACGGGATCTCCCACTTGTAACACACCTACGCACCCTCGAGCAACCTAGATTCACTCCAGCATACAACTCATGAACTGTTTCAATCTCGGGTCATGTGATTGCACGACAACTTGTGAAGCAAAGCGCACTGGAGGGTGAATGGGCCTGGATGTCTTCACCTCAAACATTCTCGTGCAAAATCTGATATACCCTACCGATTCAGTGAATTGAAACGTTATAACACCCGTCGATCTCTACTGAACGTGCGACGACCATTCGACACCGCATCCCCGTCGATGTGTCTTCCTCTCGCCGTCACAGTTCTTCCTGTGGGACGCATATCTCGTGTTTTTTCCACGGAAATCAGACGCATAAACGCAGGTTGGCGTGTTCAGCAAAGGTATGCCATGTCACTCAGCGATTTGACGTCAATGTTAAACACCGAACAACAGAGCCCCAAGCCAAGGAAGGTATGCAAATTCAACAGCCTGGGTGCACGCGACGTTGCCCGCTATTATCACTGCTGAAGCAACGAGGATGGTGACAGAAGGATGCTCTCGAAAAGGGGGATGATCGACCACGATAAAACGCCACAGTCAACGCGACTCACATTTCAACATCTTCAGCCTGCTTGTTCCTCGTAGCGCACACCGCCTCGTTATTGTCATGGCACCATCATACGACGTGACACCAAGGTATATTCGATACCTCACCCGGTGTTTCGACGACGATCCTGTTCTGTATCCTGGTCGTGGATCGCTCACGTCCTGCCGGCGCCTTCGAATACGCCTTTCCGCTATGTCAAATCCCAGCGTCATCTCTCGACGATAGTCCAAATTCTCCCTCAAGACTTACTGCCATCCACATCTGTGAAGATGCGCCACAACACTACCTATGCCGCTCAAGTATATGCTATAGCCTGACGGATTTTGATCGCGTTAGGCTCCCGCGCACATAGCATCTCACCCACGATGAGCTTCTCTCCTTGCGTTGACAATGATATCATTCCGAATGAAGAACCAGGCTCTGATGTATCGCGTCACCCAGCCTGCGAGTTGCAAGAACACTGTGCGCCAAGGATCATGCTTGTTTGACGACGGATATGTGACGACGGTTGGATGGTTGGATGCGGGCAGGGCGAGATGATTCGTTGCGATGAAAGAAGACGCATATACGCAGCCTGGTGTGTGCAGGGAGGGTACGCCGTGTTTCCTCCAGCGATTTGACAACAAGGTTGAGCATTGTACAACAGGGCCCCGTCTAGGCGAATAGCAGACCAGCGACGATATGCAAATCCCACAGTCTGAGCGTACACCTCACCGCTAAAAGAACGACGACGGCGAGAGAAGAGTGCTTTATAACACAGGATGATCGACAGTAGCGATGAAAGCACCAAAATAGATGCGATTCACATTGTAACATCTTCATCCTCCGTGTTCCTTGCGGCGTGCACTGCAAAGCGCCTTACGACGTGACGCCTTCGCTTCTTTGGTACCTCGACTAAGTGCCTTCGACGACAATTGTATCCTATATCCTCCTCGTCGATCACTGGCCTCGTGCCCGCACCTACGATTATGGCTTTCCACCATGTCATATCCCGCCATCAGATCAGGAAGATCGTCGGAATTTTCGTCAGGATATGCTGCCCTTATCCATATCTCGCCACAGCAGCTCACTATCCGCGGCGCTCAGGCTCGGCTTATAGCCTGTTTGATTTTCATCGTCTTATGTCTGCACGGACATATTTATTGATTCGATTTGCCTACGATTACCTCTCTTCGCACGAATATCATCCCGGATGTAGAACCAGGTCCTCGAGGTATCGCATCATCTGGCGTGCGATGTGCAAAAACATGCAGCATGCTACGCACCAAGCATCGTCCTTGTTCAATGAGGGATGTGTAGCGAAGGTTAGATGAGAGTACGGCGAGATGATTCGTTGGGATGATGAACTCGATCGGCTCTAGGTGTACCGGCTATCAGTGTCTGTCAATTGACCTCTACTGAAACGTTTTGCAGTTCATCGACGCCGTGGCAGCATGATCTCTGTCCGATAGACGCCTGTGCTCATCATGGGTCTGTCACCCTGTCGCAGTTCCACATCTCCTCCACCGGTTCCCTCGCTCTTCCCTTCTCGCCGACATGCCTCAACAAACCAAATCACGACGTGGTATGGCAGAAACTCTCAGCGCCCAGTGTTGGAGGCAGAGCAGGAGAGAAGATGATGCAGTTAGCAATATTTGCCATTATCAACTTGAGCGGGAGGAAGTACAGGATTGTGGTCTCCTGATTGCTTTGCTGTCTAGATGTTCTCTCTACGTGGACATGACGTATTCATCTCCTAGGGAATGGATTTCAAGCAAGTTAATGGTGTTCATCGTGAACGTCGCTTGTATCACCAACTTCTGCTAATCGCCACCATTATCGTATCCATTTGAATCACCACCATAGTCACGCACATCAAACCATCAACATCAAATCTATGCGAAACATACCAATGTAAAGAGCGAAACCTGCCCAAACCACCAGCTATCATCACATCACTGACGATCCATCAATGCCTCCTTCTCTCCTCCTGATCAAGAGACCATCACCGGTCCGTCGACTGCGTTGTCTATGTTCTACCATGCCATGGTCTGCTGCAATAGTTCAAAGTCCACTCCTACAGAAACAGAGTATTGATAGCCCAAGGAAGCTAGATGGTCGCTCTTGGGTGGATGACGTCTGCAGGGCCCACCGGTCGGCTTGCGAGTTCAGTACAAATGGTGGCACTGAACTGAGCCAAATCGCAGGGAAAATGCATTGCTCATGGTATTGTCCATATAACATGAACGATCATTTAGCTCGGATATTGCAATCGGAAGGAATGGGAATTGGAAAAGGCTGTTCTGATCTTGTTACAGTCGACTTTGTTTACGTGCATTCCGTGTCCGCGCATTAGCTGTGTTAGAGCATAGGGGATGAGTTTCCATCTCGGTTTGGTGTGATTTGGGGCCGCTTACATGATGTATATGTGCATAGGTAAATAGAGGTGCTGACATAGTGTATGCAGATAGAGAGAGCATCGGTCAGGGCAGAATAGAAATTTTTTCATCTGTCACGGAGCACTGTCCTCAAAACTCGACCATGTTTAAGAAGAGAGATCAGCTCACCGATCAGCCGTGCATCAAGATACTTGATTATTGTGACAAGCACCTCAACGTGGGAACTACACAGGGTGATATAGCGGAGCATTTCAAGATCACACAGCCAACAGTTTCTCGAATCCTACAGCATGCTGATATCATCCAGAAGCGAGTTGCATCATCCGAAGACCATACATCAAAGCGGCAGCGTCGGGTCCTGTACCCAGAGATTGAACGTATGCTGGCACTATGGGTGCAGCAGATGGAAGCGGAGCGGATTGCAATCACAGGCGATGTGTTGCGGTCAAAGTGGAGGTGGTTTGCAGAGCGGGCAAAAATTCGGAAAGAGAATTGGCTGCGCTTGTCAGATGGATGGCTCACATCCTTCAAGCATCGGTATGGGTTGAAGGGTCATGTCATGCACAGAGATGCGGGAGGTGTTGATACAACAAAAGTCGAGGAGGCAAGGATTGAGCTGCGCAAGCTTATGGACCAGTACGCCCTACAAGATATTTTCAATATGGATGAGACTGGCCTGTATGGGAAGATGCCACCGAATCGAACCCTTACAACTCAGCAGATCCACGGGCGAAAGGACAACAAGGACCGTCTATCATATGCATTCACTGTCAATGCTGATGGCTCAGAATACATCGATCCGCTTGTCATTGGCAAATCATGTTGGCCTAGGAGCTTTCGAGGGAAGGGAAGGCTTATGGGTATCGGTACTTCTGGAATAAGACAGCCTGGATGGTGACGAGTATATTTGAGTGGTGCGCCTCCATCTCGTCATGTAGTATGTAACTATACTGATTGTGGCATAGGTACACTGCAGATCTAGACCAGAGGATGCATACACAAGGATGCCATATCCTGCTCCTTATCGACCAGATGTCCGCACACAAAGTCAAACCCAACACCCTCACCAATATCCGCATCGAGTATTTGCCTGCAAACATGACGAGCCATATTCAGCTGCTTGACCAAGGCATAATCCGCTGCTTCAAGGCAAACTACCGAAATAAGTTCTGCAACCGAGCCATTCTGAGGCAAGCTGCCGGAATACCAACACATCAGCTGTACAATATCGAGCAGCTGGAGATCATGGGACATGCGGACAAGGCATGGCAAGAGGTGAAGCAGGAGACAATTGTGAACTGCTGGCGACGGTCCGGAATTCTCACACTGCCTCGTCGCCAAGATGGCAAGTTGGCAGGCCAAGATGATCCTGTTGTCCTTGAACTGCCAGCTCCGCCTATTACACAAGAGCCTTATCTGCAAGCTGCGCTACATGAGCTGCTCGATGCAATCACCACGCTGCAAGAGGTTGGTGCAATTGCACAACTCGACGTCCTAACACCAGAGGAGATGCTTGATGTGCCAGAAGAACAGGTGGTGTCAGAGCGGCGGACCAATGAGGATATTGTGGAGCAGCTGCAGGAGGAGATGCGGCAGGATGAGGTTATTGAGGTGCTTGATGACGAGGAGGAGGAGGAACCGGTTGCACCTCGGTGGTCTGCTCAGAAAACGCTGGCTGCATCACTTGAGCTGGAGCGTCTGTTTACCGCTCAGCCTGGCAGAGCTTTCCAGGACGTGCTGCGGGCTTTCCCTTCAATGATGGATGCACTAAAACGTCTCCATGTCCAATCTCTCACCCAGTCTAGCATCACGTCGTATTTCTCCTAATGTATCGGGAAAAATTTTACCTCCGGCCTCCCTCTCTCGTCCTGCATACCCTCTATTGCTCCATACGAACCATCTGTACCGAGCCTATGCACAAAGACAGAGTCGACTGTAGGTATTAATATTCCTCGCACAGAAGCGTTGAGTGGCAGTATTTGTGACGTCATAGTTCCCGAACAGAAGTGAATTACTGTACCCTGTGTTCTAATGAGGTCGAAATACCGCTCATCCTACAGCCCATTGTAGTATTGCTTTGAATGGATACATACTGCACGACTTCATCACAGCATGACTGCCGCCTATCTCTGCTTCCAAATCTACGCCCTCCTCCGACCCAGTTCCTTCTCGGGCAATGGACACTATATCACATAGAGATAACTGCGCAGTACTGCTGCACATTCCGCCGCTCTATGATGGAGCCCCACATACTCAAATAACGCTATTGCCGTCAGATGCATCTCCCTAGCGTCGAATATATTGCCTTGTTGCTCGGAAACACTTGCAATGAACTTCCTGCAGTAAGCTAACTGCCGCGTCATCCCGAGCTCTTCGAATGTCTTCTCAAATGCCCCGAGAATGTTGAATGGTTCAGGGTAACAATCTTGCATGTGCAGGATGTCGCCAAGACTACGACCGCATTGGGCGGCTCGGAGACCGTCCGGGATCGCGTCAAACGATTCCTTCGCTGCCTCCTCCTACTGATATTGCATGCTCAGGATCTCGCCGAGACTCTGAGCGCATTGGGCGGCACCCCGACGGTCTGGGATTGCGTCATACACCGCCCTCGCTTCCCTCAACAACGCCGCTGCCTCCTCGTACCGATCTTGCATGCGCAGGATCTCGCCGAGACTCCATGCGCATTCGGCGGCACTCAAACGGTCCGGGATCGCGTCAAACGCTGCCCTCGCTTCCATCAACAGCGCCGCTGCCTCCTCATACCGATCTTGCGTGCGCAGGATGTCGCCGAGACTCTGAGCACATTGGGCGGCACCGAGACGGTTCCGGATCGCGTCAAACGCTTTCCTCGCTTCCATCAACAGCACCGCCGCATCTTCATACCGATGTTGCATGCGCAGGATGTTGCCGAGACTCTGAGAGCATTGGGCGGCACCCAGACGGTCCGGGATCGCGTCGAACGCTGCCCTCGCTTCCATCAACACCGCCGCTGCCTCCTCGTACCGATGTTGCATGCGCAGGATGTCGGCGAGACTACAAGCGCATTGGGCGGCACCCAGACGACTCGGGATCGCGTCATACACCGCCCTCGCTTCCCTCAACAGCACCACTGCCTCCTCGTACCGATCTTGCATGCGCAGGATGTCGGCGAGACTACGAGCGCATTCGGCGGCACCTAAACGGTCCGGGATAGCGTCAAACACCGTCCTCGCTTCCCTCAACAGCATCGCTGCCTCCTCGTACCGATCTTGCATGCCCAGGATATCGCCGAGACTCCTAGCGCATTGGGCGGCACCCAGGCGGTTCGGGATCGCGTTAAACGTTTCCCTCGCTTCCTTCAAAAGCGCCGCTGCCTCCTCGTACCGATCTTGCATGCGCAGGATCTCGCCGAGACTCTGAGAGCATTGGGCGGCACCCAGACGGTCCGGGATTGCGTCATACACCGACCTCGCTTCCATGAACAGCGCCGCTGCCTCCTCGTACTGATGTTGCATGCCAAAGATGTCGCCGAGACTGTGAGCGCATTGGGCGGCACCCAGGCGGTTCCGGATCGCGTCAAACGCTGTCCTCGCTTCCTTCAGCAGCACCGCTGCCTCCTCGTACCGATCTTGCATCCGCAGGATCTCACTAAGAATGCAAGCGCATTGGGCGGCACCGAAGCGGTTCCGGATCGCGTCAGACGCTGCCTTCGCTTCCCTTAGCAGCGCCGCTGCCTCCTCGTACCGATCTTGCATGCGCAGGATATCGCCCAGGGCTAGCATACATGCTGCCAGGCCCCTTTTGTCTCCATTATCGAACATAGAGTTCGCCCCTGGCCTTCTCAAAGTACCTTGTCCATGCTTCTTCCGGGAGAAGAAGCGTGGGATTGCCTTCTTCGCTGTCGTCGCGATCCCCCGACTGCTCGTTAACCCCCTCAATTTTGCGATGTTCCTCATTAAGAGCAGAACAGGATCACCGTATCCCGTCATCCTCGAGAAGTATGCCAGTGAAACGGTCGCATGGAGGTATATGTCCAGTGCAAACCCTGGAACATTTGCCTGGCAGACATACAACAACACTGCGTTGATGTTACCAAACTCTGATGCAAGCAGCTCGATCATTTCCGCGCTGCTCTCTTCTCCATATTCGTACGCCCTATTCGCAAGTTGCATGACGTGTTTTGCCACATCGTTCAGGGGCGTCCCCTTTGGCGGATACTGTGCGAGAATAAAATCGCGGATCGGGGACAGAACTCGAATACGGCCGCTGTCCTGGTACGCAAGTCCACACCGAAGCAGGACCAACGCCGTCGCTGTGACGTTCCGTTCCATCGACGGCATCAGGGCTGGCAGCGACTCGATGTGTGCTCCATCGGGTAACAGGCAAAGGACTGAAAGTAATGGCCGGCCGTCACGATGATTCGCCATCAACCTCGAGTCGAGAGAAAGTCGAATCGAGACCTCCAGGCTGTCCGATCGGCCCGTACCTGCAGCCTTGACCAAATTGAAAGCTTCCCGCTCATAAGCAGCCAACAGGATGGATGGATCCAGGTCTTTCCCTTGCAATGCCATGAGATGAATCGCGAGCGGCAGTCCATCCAGTCTCTCGAGGAGCTCGTCCAATTTATCATCCGTCTTCTTTGAAATCTTGACCCATATCTGGCGGGCAGCTTGAAGAGAAAGCTTCCGAAGCGGGACCAGCTCGCTCCAGTTTAGCCCCTCGGGTGCCTGCGTTCCTCTCATCGTGACAACCACTGACAGTGAGGAAACTCGGTCGAATCGGCCGAACAATTCCCGAAGACGGTGCCTGTCTGATTGTGCGACTGTCTCTAGATTGTCCAGCACAAGAAGCGCGCGGCTGAGGGAAGCAAGATGTGTGAGCAAGGCTGTCCGCCTGTTCGAATCGCGTGGAATGCTGAAGAATCCTGCCAGCGCATTTACCAGACCTTCTTCGGAATCGACGGCGTCACAGCTGAGGAAATAGATATGACGTCCGTATCGTTCCTTGACTTGCTCATCGTTGATGGCGGCAAGCGCAACCGATGTCTTCCCGATGCCCCCCGTGCCCAGCAGAGGCACATGGCAAGCCTCGTCTTGAAGCAGGAGCTGGATGATCGACTCCACCACTTGCTCTCTGCCGCAGAACGCCTGGGGCGTGGGTGGAATATCGATCAGAGAAGGACTAGTTCACGGTCAGGCAGGGAGCGACGAGGTTGAACACAGAGCATACCCTTGGTGAGCGAGCGATCCAGCAACCACATCGCGTAACAGCACAGTGTGAATCTCCTGGCTCAAGTTTAAGTACCAGAACGCACACACGCCACCGGCTTTACTCACCAAGGACCGTAGCCTGAGAGCATCAAGACCCTCGTGATGCTTCCTTATCTTCTGCATTCTCGTCCAAATATCCCAACGATCTCGTTTCCAGCGGGAACGCAGAAATTCATCGATCTCTGATACTTTCCTACCCAGCCATAGTCAGAGATGAGGTCTCCAATAGGGGGGCTAGGGCGCACTTAGTAAGTTCCTTAATCACTGCTTCCACCCTCTCGTCTGCGGCCCCTTCAGGTGGAACACGATCGAGGATCACTTGAGTCACCCATGTAGTCTTCACCGCCAGCCGCTTATGATCATCCCGAAGTTCTTCGATTATCTGCCAGGCGGGGGGTCAGCATATCGAAGTCTAATACGACATGGAAAGGGGAAGCAGACCTCAGCAATGCCAGCAACCTGCGCAGCCGTGTCCTTCAGCTTCTCCTTGATTGGCGCTAGCTGGGAGGTTGCACGTGTAGTCCACCGTTCCCACGACTCTTGGAAAGACGCCAAGGAGCCGCTCATGAGATGTGTCAAGGGTACAAGGAACAAAGACAAAGAGTTGTGGAGTAAAGAAATGAGGCCGGGGGGGAGGGGGGGAACAAGCACAAAATGTTGCCGCCAGGCTGGGTTATGTATTGTCTGCCGCGCGGGACTCGCTGGCTGATTGACGTGTATGTTCGCATTTCCGCGTTTGTAACAAGGCGTCTATTATTGTTAGGAGGCAGTGTAGACCTCGTGGACAGGTTGTTGGGCCGGGGCAGACAGAAGAATGTCGAGGAACGTTTGGAGCTGATAATTGATAAGGTTGCGATTGTTTCCTTTTGTCATATCTCGTTCCATTTGTGGCTTTGCTAGCGAAAGCTCCGCCAGGATGCCAGGATAGAATATGTGCACACCTTGTTTCTTTCCTCTGGAAAATCAGGCATTCGTGTGAATAAACCCTCGAGAATGACATGCGCTATATCGATGGAGAGTAGAGATTCGCTAGGACCTGGGACGACAAGACCGTTCTTCGTGACCCTGAAATCTACAGCGCCTGTTAATGTGCATCGATAGTTATCCCGCTTGCGGGTCTGTCCACGTACGAGTGAGATGAGCTGTGATACGAGGTCCATAGTCGGACTCACCAGTTCTCGCCCCGCCTTGTAGCCTCTTGGGGTTGCTTCGAGAGATTCTTTATTCAACTCGGCCGTATCGTCGAAAGAGGGTCTTGACGGGTGCTCGCCAGGAGCGGGAGTCGCTTGACGTCGTCTGACTGGATCAATCGTGAATCTGACGAGTAACCGCAGAGGCGCAAGGAACGGCTAACACGACAGTATCATCCAGTGGGGACAAGTACAACTGGTTCTGCAGGAGGGTCGAGCTCGAGCAGCGGCGTACGGAGCGGTGTCATTGGCTTCGATGGTCTCTTGATTGCCACTTTCCTTACCAGTATGCTCGCACTGGCATGAGAAGCTGGAGCCGACGAAGCGGCCAGTAGCATGTAAGGCGGCGCGGCGGATGGAGTCAACGGGTTTAATCCATGTTTGTCTTGTCTATGCATGTTGTGACGGTCCAGCTGTTCCTAGAATCTGTGCAACATCGCCTCTTTACAATCCGCGGACTCCCTCGATGTCTTCTCACGCCCCAGGATAATGAACTGCCGGCAGTTTATCACCCATTACTGGCGACAAAGCGACCCTTTTCTCCAACTTCCAGCAATGCATCAAGCATGCTATCGCCCAGAAAGCGGATCTGGCTCTTCCGGCGGGCCTCAGGTTCATACCCCGCATCTCGGAACCAAGGACCGGTCAAGCAGTCCTGCCAACGGACATGTTGCTACGTTCAAGAATCCGGGTCGATGAGAACTGCGACAGGAAGTAGGAAGATGGCCAGCGGCTGCCTGAGACGGAGGAACTGGGGTTGGGGTGACAGCGCCAACGGCGTTGGAAGTGTTGGAGGCTGACAGGAACGGTGAAAACGGTGGTCGTCAATCGATCGTATGGGATCTGAACAAGGGATCCGACGAATGCACATGGTGAGACGTCTGGAGAAAGCTGGAGCCTGAAGAAAGAGTCATTCGTTCACGCGTCATCGACCTGTCGGATAATCAGTGCTTGTTGGTAGTAGAAGTGAACGATACGGACATCTTGGCTCTTGATACGGATTGTCACCCTGTCTGATGCTTGCCTATACGGCACGACACACCCAAATCCGCCGGGACAGCGGGGGATGCAACAGAGGAAGACGCCTGATCCGCCTTCGAAGACCCTCCGGGACGAGGATGGCGGTAGAAGACAGGCGAGGACCACTACCAAAGACTGGCCGCCTTCATGACTTTGAGCCTCTATTTCATGCGACGCGTCAGTGAAGGTTCCTCTGGTGATCAACCTAGCACACCATCTCACTGGAATGTCAATGAATCGCCTGAGTCCTATATGCAGCTGGAGGCAATGCCCGTGAAATCCTACCTCGCAGTATCCGCTTTCCACAAGTCTGATCGTCTTCTTTGAGGTAGCCAATCAGAGATGACGGACATGTGCAAATCGGGTTTTGATCATCAGGCGACTCAGGGTCGGGCTGTCGCAAGTAATGCGCCAGCTGACGAGGAGCAGCCACTTGAACCCTTAAGGTGAACACGCTGTTATGAGTCCAGGAATGGATTGCCAGGGACAAGCGAGACGTCTCAGCGAGTCAAGAAAGGTAGCTGTTAAGTTTGAGTTTGTGATGCCCGAGTCGGTCACGGAGTTGCTGAGTGTCTGGCATAAGGGCGTCTAGCGTCTGGTATGTGGGCAGTGCGCCAGAGGCGCTGCCTGTGGACATGAGGCTGACGGCAGGGTGGTATGTTCTTCAGACTGAGAGGATGGGAAGAACAGACGGTGGATTGTATGCGTGCATCGTTGGATAGGAACGCAGATGATGCCTGACTGATGACGTGCACCACCGCATTCCATTTACCACACCGCTTCAAACTAGTGGAATCCGATATCAAAAGCAGAATTGGACTAGCTTATTTGGAGGGGCCAAGTTCATTTCATGTAGACAGACAAAAGAGATATACTTTGCAAAGTTCCTTTCCGACATCCTCGGATTGTTATCCGACACTTCTTGCAACAAAAGAAGATGCTATAAATAAGCACAGGATGGTTGTCAATGGTGATGTCCCTTGCAGTTCACTCCATCACCGAGGTTGTATTCATTTTCACCGACCAGAAATTACTAGTCTCTTGCATGCGTTTTACTTTAACATTGTAACATTTCTTCTTGTGACATTGTCATCAACTTACATTCACTCTCTCATCTACAGTAGCTCACATTTGACATCAACGACGACGTCGCTCTATAATAACACAAATCTCAATCTGCAACTCACACTCGCTCCAAAATGCCCTCAATCCCAATCCCTCACTACATCAACACTCCCATCGCCCACTCATCTCAACCTCATCTCACGTCCCCGTCTCCCCCAATCCAGGAATTCCCACCAGCAGCACGCTCCGGTTCCCGCACTCCATCAATCGACGGTGTACAACCAGTCTCAGAAGCAGACTTTGACGCTCCGGGACCGTCGGGGCCTGTCCTCGCAAGTGATGTCAAGAAGCAACAACAGGTCGTCGTCTCTGCCAAGGGTGTTGCTATAGACGATGCCCAAGATGGAGGAGAGAGCGAAGATGAGGACGAGGGTGTTGTGCCGGACAGCCCCGGACCAGCAGAACGCTTCGAGCCTCTGTACAACAGTCCTTCTCGTTCACCCGCGAACCTCCCTGCAGTTGAGGGCAACCCAGGACAGACGATGGACGGTGCTGCTGCAGAGCTCGATCAACCAGCACAAGAGTCAACACTGAGCAGTGCAGAAACACAAGTCGAACGGCCATCCGCAATCCCCGGGTTGCCAGACGTCGCTCCCCCTCCCTCCTCCACCCCTTCAAGACCCAACAACCTCTTCCGCACCAGCGCACTCAAGGTCCTCCAAATGCACCGCGGGAGCAGCGCCATCCAGTCCCCCGGAGCGGAACAAGGTGTCGACGCGAGGCGGGACAGTGCTGCTGAGCACTGGGGGCACATACACCAGGAGTGTGCTATCGAGGTGTGCGACTACTCCAGCAACAACGCGTCCTTTACCAGGCTGAGCAACGCTGGTCTTGCCGAGTTCCTCTCTGGCCGAGGGAAGGACAGGCCCGCGTGGGCAAAGGTCAGGTGGATAAACGTAGGCGGGATATCGTTCGACGTCATTCGCGCTATCGCACTGCGATACGACCTGCACCCGTTGGCGACGGAAGACGTGCTTCGGTGCGGCGAGAGCGGGAGCAGGAGCAAGTCGGACTATTACAAGAACCACCTGTTCCTGAGCCTTATATGCCACCTCCTGGCACCGGACGACGAGCCTCCGAGCTATGACGATTCGCAGGCCCCGGCTGGAGAGCCAGGGGAAGTGCTCACTGAGTCCCCTTTGCAGGACACGCCAGATCTTGGCCTGTCAGACGCTGCGCTCCGGCGTAGAAGGCACTCCGCGGTGTTCGCCCGCGCTAGGTCCGGGGTGCGCCACGCTGGGGAGGGATTAGCACACACCATCAGCAGGGACGATATCGAGAGTTCTCTTGATGCGGCCAAGAGCATGCGTGGGCCGGGGGACGATCTGCGCCCTACAACTGGCGCTCTGGCTGGGGAAGACGTAGGTTGGTCTCGCCGTCTGAGGCCTGCAGTACCGAAACGGTTGTCTGCTCTTCGCCCGCACCCGCACTCTCACTCGCATCACTCGAACCATGCTGATCCGGAACGGGACGCCCCCGCGCAGAAGGCTGCTCAGGCCCACACACTGGCAAAACAGCGCCAGTGGGCGAGCTGGATGAATATGTCCCCCATGCGGAGGCGGAAGGCGGTGAACCAGGCTGCGCTGCAGGAGCTGAAGCGGGGTGCGCATGTCAGTGTCGAGTTGAAGCATATATTTGTGTTCCTTACGAGGGGAGGTGAGTGTACTGAAGTTGTTCCTCGTTTGCGTGGACTAACGCTCGTTAGGCACGCTTATCACCTTCCACCAGGATGCAGACTTGGCACATTTCAGACCTATCAAAGCCCGTTTGCAGCATAAAGATTCCCTACTCCGCGCGCAGGGGGACGCGTCCCTCTTGATGCAGAGCGTGATCGATCTTGGTGCGTCCGTTTTCTGGCACTTATGGAGGTTGAGCTGATGTTGATGCGCGATAGTGGTGGACCGCGCGCTGGAAGTCGTCGATCGGTATCATGATACCCTCTTGGATTTAGAACGGCAGATCCTTATCAAGCCGAGTATGAAGACCGTTCGGCAGTGTACGTCCCCTTCATCCCCCCCTCCCCGGCCTAGCTCACGTTCGCAGTGCACATCATGTCTGGCGACCTGACGCTACACAAGCGCACCCTCACCCCTCTCTCAACGATGATCTACGCTCTGAGGCGGTACGATCTCGACCGTGCAGTGGCCGCTACGCCCGAAGCGCAGGATGGGAAGGACGTCAAAGTCTCCGGCTTCTGCAGTCATCAGTGTAAAGTCTACCTCGCGGACGTGTATGACCATATGGAATATATCCTCAGCAGCATGGATATGTTCTCCTCTATTGCGGAGAACTTGATAAACTTTACGTTCAATGTGCGTCTCCTTGTTTGCCGTTAGTGCGCGGCTGACACTGGGTAGATTGTGTCATATGAGACGAACGAGTCTATGCGCCGGCTCACAGTCGCCACGGTCGTTTTCTTCCCCCTCACCTTCCTTACAGGATACTTCGTACGTCCTCCGGTTCTCTGCGAGCTCCTCACTAACGTATGCCAGGGCATGAACTTCGTTTCTATGAATTCCCTTGTCGGCTCAGATCTATTCTTCTGGGAACTTGCGATCCCAGTCATGATCGTTATCACGATCGCCTTTACCTGGAACGATATTGTCAAGAGGTACCGAGCGTTCGTAAGGAACAGGCACTTTGATGCGGTCAATGTACGCCCCCCGCCCCCCCCTTTCATTCAGAACATGTTTAACCTCATCGATAGGACAAGCTTCGGAATACCCTCTCCAGAACGACATAAACGTGTCTTGATATATCTGTCTTTTATATGCATATCCTCCGGCCGCGCCGGGCTCGATTGTCTCGTCCTTCACTGAAACAAAAATGTTTTTCTTGAATCTCTTCGCGCACGCGCCGGATCGTTCGTCATACCTATATGCACATTTACCCTCTTTTGGAACTTCACGGCTCGGGATTGTATTGGATCTGCTTCTGGTATTGCAGGACGATAGGAACCGCCTTTGAAAAGGTATGAGATGGAATTAGTTATTTTCCCCTGATACGCTCTATCTCCCGGGCATCAGATCCAACCCGCGTCTTTACGGAAATGGGCGCCAGATTGCAATTAGATTGATTCCCCGCTTCGGATCCGGGATTATCGTCTGATCGATGTATTAGATGTCCGGATTTCTCACAAGCGAATTAGGCGCCCATCCATGGGGGTCTCTTGTGGCTAAATTGTTGTCGCACTTCTCGATGAATAGCTCCCTGATACTCGTCACTCATATCACTTTCTTGATACCCTCATGAGCGTGGTCGTCTCAAATTACCCAAATCGTAGTGGCTACATGATTCCTGCTCGAATACCAGGGGCTGTAGCAACATCTCTCCCACCCGCAGATTGGCGCACAGATCCAGATTGGGCCAAGTCCATCTTGATTCGTGTGCGACAACAGGTCCTTGACGCAGGCAAGGTGCGGCGGTTCACCTTCCAACAAGAGGCTGACTGATGCGATACTTCACAGTCTGTGCGCACGAACAAGACCGACTGTGCGCTGCTGACAGAACGAACTGCTCGAATCATGGAAGACTTTGCGCAAGTGATAGAGAAGGTGGGGGATGACGTGGCAATGCCCACCCAGCTGGGTGCAGTCATCCAGCACGTCAAACCCATATAATGGCCGCGTGTCACAACGGTGCTGACTGCCTACGGGTCTCAGGACGGCAGAGCAAGTCACGTTCTTTCTGCGTCGACAGAGTGGAAAGAGCGTGACGGCTGGTCTCATCCGCCAAGCACATGCCAAACAAGAAGTTTGTCGGATACACGAGTCCTTGGACGTTATCGTGAAGACTTTGCAGGTTCGATTTACTCCCCTGTCAGTGTCCTCTCTCCAGCTGAAGCGAGGTCAATGTAGACATTCCTTCTGTCTGCGATGTCGGCTGCTGAAGACCCGCCAGTACCAAGTGAGGTATGTTCTTTGTTTTCGTTCGGAATGCCGATCTCCTTGCTGAAACGGACTTCGATGGCTAGGCCGCACCCAAAACCCTCCTGCCGGCTCTGGATCTTCCTCCCAAGCCACGAATCTTTCACGGACGAGACACAGAATTTGACTCCCTGGCTGAACTCCTCGTCGAAAAGGATAACGCTTGTGTCGCAATATTGGGGGCCGGGGGGATGGGAAAGACCACACTCGTTGCCGCCGCACTTCATCATGGTCAAGTGATTCGCAAGTTCACTTCTCATCGTATTTTCCTCAGGTGCGAGTCTGTTGACTTCACCATCGTCGCCTCGACCGATAGCTTCGTCGCCTCGCTCGCGGCTTGTCTTGGTGTGACTGATCAAGCGAATTTGTGGAAATCTATTTTGGCAACATTGGCACGCATTCAAACTCCCATTCTCTTGGTTCTGGACAACCTCGAAACAGTGTGGGATACTCAAGAGCAGTCAGAGGTAGAGGTACTTCTTCATGACTTGGCTGCTATCGAGCACTTATCACTCTTGATCACAATGCGAGGCACGCTGCGTCCTGGTGGTATCGACTGGACACATCCCATCCTCCCTCCGCTACAGTCCATTTCACAGACGGCCTCTCGGAAGATATTCGTATCGGTCAGTCACCAGATGGCAGCTGATGCGGAGCTCGACGAGCTGCTTGCTCTCCTCGATGGACTACCACTGGCCGTTAGTCTCATGGTTTATCAAGGCCAAGTTCTGAGCATCCGTGAGTTGATGGACGCATATGAGAAAGAGCGAACGTAGCTATTGAGAAAACGAGGTGCAAGACGGCGTTTGACAAGTCTCGACGTGTCCATCGAAGTCTCACTAAAGTCTCTTACAATGCAGGAGAATCCGCAAGCAGCCAAGCTTCTGTCACTGCTTTGTCTTTTGCCGGATGGATTAGTTCTGAGTGAGGCAAAAGAGTCACTTCCATCATTTGCTAACCTTCACCAGGCTGCTGCAACGCTGCGCTGCAGCAAGTGGCTCTCATTGACACGCATCAAACCCGATTGAAAAAGCTGGCACCAATACGCGAATTTATCCTCGAAGAATATCCACCGGCTGGTCGACCGCTCGAAGAGCTACGCCTCCATTTCGCACAGTTTACGATGCGAGTTTACAAGGCCGCGGCTCACATCACCAAGAATGCCGTGGATGCCTTATCAATCGAGTTCTGGAACATCAATTCCGTTTTGTTGCACTTTTGGCAGACTCTAGCAGATGTTGATGCTTGCGACGGACCTCTTGAAGCAACCTTTCAGTTGGCCCAGTTCGTTTACTTGGCAAGCTATGGAGATTGTTTACCGCTCTTGCCTTATGCGAAAGCAAAGCTGCAAATACTTGGGCGTGGAGAAGATGCCACCGAATGCACCCGAAAAATGGGCGATATTCTGCGCATGCGTCATCGTTATCCAGAAGCAGCAGCGATGTTGGAAGAAGCCAAGATCTCTTTCACCAACTTCAATGATCAATGGGGTGCAGCACAGTGTGCTCGAAGTATTGCAGATATAATGCGCATGCAGAACCGATACGAAGAGGCACTCGTCAAGTTGGAGGAAGCCGGAGATACGTTCTGCAAACTTGGCGCTGCTATTGACTTCGCCCGATGCAAGCAGACCATGGGCGAGATTTTTTCGATGAGACAGCAGTATGGAGATTCCCTGCCCAAACTGGTGGAAGCCAAATCGACTTTTGAAGCTATGGGAGACTGCCTTGGCGCTACCCAGTGTATGCAGAGCATGAGCGACATGTTATGCATGCTGAACAAGTATGACCAGGCCGCTGCAACGCTAGAAGAAGTGAAGGCCACCTATGACCGCATTGGCAATCGACTGGGTGCTACACAATGCGTACTGCGAACAGGCATTATCTTTCTCATGCGAGATCGTCGTGTTGAGGCCATGTACAACTTCCGAGAAGCTAAGGCGGCGTTCGACACCATGAAGGATCTCCGTGGTAGCGCTCAATGTCAGGGAAGGATGGGCGATATCTGTATCACGGAGAATCCATACTCCGACGCGATCGTAATGCTCTCAGAAGCGACCACGGCCTTTACGTCGATAGGAGATCGAATGGCCGCCGCTCAATGTACGCAGGGTATCGGCAATGCATTACGAATGTGGAATCGTTACCCAGAGGCGGTGTCAAAGCTCGATGAGGCACGAAGGATATTTGAATCAATAAGCAATCCCCTTGGCGTGGCACAGTGCAAGCACAGCTCAGGCGACATGCTGCTGACGATCGGCGCTTATGACGAAGCGATGTGCAAACTAAAAGAGGCCCACGCCTCGTTTGAGGTTCTTGGTAACACGCTGGGGACGGCCCAATGCAAGCACAGTACTGGAAATGTCCTTCTCATGCTCGGTCGGTATGAAGAAGCAAGCTCCAAACTTGAAGAGGCCAAGCTTTCGCTTCAGTTGATTGGTGATGGGTGGGGCTCAGCTCAATGTACGCTCAGCTTGGGCAACGTCCTGCGCATGATGAATCGATATGAGGATGCCGCCATACGGTTGGCGGAAGCTAGGGCAGACTTCGAAAAACTCGACTATCAACTCGGCGTAGCCCAATGTGACCAGCGTTTGGGAGAAATCTTGCATATGCAGATGAAACACGTCGATGCTTTGGAGCAACTTGAGAAAGCACGGGCTGTATTCGATACTGTTGGAGACCGACTCAGAGCGGCCCAGTGCTATCAGACTATTGCGAATGCGCTGCTCACGCGTGGCGAGCATGATCAAGCCATCGCGAAGATGAATGATGCCCAGGTCAAATTTCAGGAAATCGGCGATGTGATAGGTTCCGCGCAGTGCTTGCAGAGTATCGGTGATGCATTGTATGCGCTTGGTCGACACAACGAAGCATTCTCGAATCTGGAAGGGGCGAGGTCTGTGTTTGATGAGAAAGGACATCGGCTTGGGATAGCCCAAACAATGCAGAGCATGGCGAACGTGCTCATTGGAAAAGAGCGATATGACGAAGCTCTCAATTGGTTGACCGAGTCAAAGGCGCTCTTCTCACTCGTCGGGGACCAGCTCGGAGTGGCCAAATGTCTGCTTAGTATTGGCAATGTCCTCCGTATTCGGGAGCTGTTCAGCGACGCTGCCATTCAATTTGAGGACGCTAGACGAATAGGGGTGTCGATCATGAATCGACATGTTGAAGCGCAGAGCAGCAGGCTTCTTGCATACACCTGCATAGCTTTAGAGCGCCTGGACGGTGGGCGTGACCTATTTGAGGCGGCGGCACAGTTGTACATCGAAATTGGATTAGATGAGCAAGCCAAGATCTGCAACGAGGCGTTGGAGATCCTTCGAACTGCAGTGCTTGATTGAAGTCGAAGACAGTCCGGTAATATGTATGACAGAGATCCGAATCATCGAAGATATCCGATGATCCAGTGGAGGAGCAGATTTGATGAGGCCGGGGAGCCAAACGACCATAAACGGTATACTGGACGCGAGGTTCTGGAATGAGCGGAGAAGGGAGATTTGCCTTGAGATCGGCAAGACAAACGATATCTCAGAGTTTGAACAACTTGACGGTGTGAAGGCGATGATACATAGATGGCCAATCCCAGGTTCTTGCATGGTCGCGTTTGGGTTCCGGCAAATGACTCAGTCGGCGGAAAATGCGGGCGGTAAGCCGATCTGAACAAGGGTCGGCAGTGGCACTGATATTAGATCCTGCCTGAGATCAGAATCGGGGCAAAAGGATGCTGTGAAGATAGGACGCACTACCAAGCCTCCTAGTGTGTCGTTTCTTCGATCTATGCACTTCCTCCTAATGACTGTCGCTGCATCACAAAATCAGGTTGGTTCCGACACATCGTAGAAGAAGAACGCACAATGAGTCGGATCGCTTGTTGTTCTCCCGCGGGCAATGCCGCTATCTGTTCAGGTGTTAGGGAGAGCACGCGGAGGATCATTGCCTGATCGTTGTGTGAGTGTTGTCAGAATGCCAAAATTGAACGTATCACGGACCGTCTGTTCGTCTCCAGCAGCAGCAGGCACGCTTCCAGCAGGGAGTGGAGCCGTAGGTTGTAGAATAGAAGGTATCACGGGCGGCTGCGTAGTCCCTGTTTGCTGCAAGGCAACGACTTGCTAAAGCGAGCATCAGTGAATTTGAAGGAAGCTGGACTAGATTGAGAAGGCCGCACCTGCATGAGGGCTTCAGGTTTGACGACACCCATTGTAAGCATCGTTTGGAACATTGCATTTGCCAACTTGGGATCCTGTTGTAACATGAGCTTCGCTTGTTGTGGAGCAGCGGCTGCAAGCATCTGTGGGTGATCCGTCAGAACTGGGCTCTTGAGTGAGGGGAGGTTGAGCGCACCTTCATTTGCTGCAACAAGTCAAGAATCGTGTCTAGTGGTACACCAGATCTCTGTATAACTTCTATGCATTTATCCATGACTGTTTGGACAGATATTGAGTTGTTGTCCTCGAACCGTTGCTAGAGTTGAGTGTAAAGCTAAATCTTGCTGCAGGACGCCGTCGCAGGGACAAGCACCGGAAGCATTTGCATTCCCACGGTCGGTGTTCTCCGCCTTCTTATGTCCACCAATCACAGATGGCCTCTCAATGATCTTGGCTACACAAGGTCCAGCAATCACATGCTTGCAGAATGATATAACTCGACGAGTGTTCACGGAATGTACGCTGGTACAAAAGAGTTATCGTAGCGAATGAAGTTGTCCCCCCTCCACCTGGTGGAGCGTGGGAATCTGTGCCTGGATCCGTGTCTCGCTTGGCGGGCTTGGCACGGAGCGGAGGTAAAAGTTTTCGCTCGCACTTGACGCGCGTTTCCGTCGTCGCCGTCCTTTCCTCTTGCCTGTCTGCTGCTGCCCATCGTGGGTGACTCGGGGCCTCTCTTCAAGCATGGAGCCTCTGTTCGTGGATTCCTCTCACCATGGAGAAGACTGGACTCGCTCTCTTGGGCCTGGCAGGGCCCTTTTTTCCGGTGTTTCTGCTTTGTCTTCAGGCCAGGATGGCCCCACACTCGCACGTTTGCGTCATGCTGCCCATGCAAGTGGGCTTGGGGAGGAAGGGGGGGGGGACGGACATCGCTCGTCACCTCACGTGGACCTGCAGCCTGGGCAGCTCTTTCCTTTGGTCAGGCAGGGTGCTCCGGCACGGATTGCACCCTCACCCTGCAATGCTTGGAGCCCGCTGCACAGCAGCAGTCGACAAGGCTGGCCCCGCCCTGATCCACCCATTCCGCTGCTCCGTGGTGACATGGGCTGCTCACATGGCCGGAGCGAAGAGCACACAATTCCATGCAGTCGTTCTGCCTCACCACCCCTAACCCTCCCCCAGCCACCCACTCTGCTGCTCCGTGCTGATGCTGGCTGCTCGCACAGGCGGAGCAAAGAACATGTGTTTGTGCGCAGGCGTTCCGCCTCACCCCCCCATGCACAATGGCCACATGTACACTACCCCTGCCCCCACCCATCCACTGCATCGATGCATGGCATTGGCAGCCACTTCCGTGGCTGGAGCGAAGAGCGCGCTGTCGTACGCAGGTATTCCGACACACTGTATAATGTCGATCAACCCCGTGACGATAAGCCCTCCCCACCATCAGCTAAACATTCAACCATCACCTCGACAATCTCTGCACGTTTGTCAGCATCCCGCACTCCGTTATGCCCAACCTGGGGAGGGGGGAATAAGCGACACTGTCGCAGTGCAGGGCGGATTGCACAGTTGCATGCAAAGTGGAATGTGAAGGTCCGTGAGAAGGGACTGGAGGGAAACGCGGTCCAGGTGCTGGATGTGTATCCACAGGAGTTTATCAAACATCCCCAGAGCAATGCAGTGGTAAGGAAGAAGATGGAGGAGCTCCGGCCAGGCTACCTTCGACATCCTGAACGTATGGACCTTGCACCAGAGCATGGTGACTGGGTGTATCAGCTTGCCACCCTGGTGGTTCCACCAGACGGCTGGCTCAGTACCTGGCCAGCCTTTCGAAATCCACCATGGCTTCACCCCTTCGGAGCGCGTCCTCTCTCTCTTCCAGCAGTTCTTTGCCACACACCCTCGTGGTAGCTATGATGCCAGGCAGACTCGATCGACATATCCTGCGGTTTACCTTGGGGTATGGAGGAGGTCAAGTCGTGTACCACACATCACTGCACACACCTATCAGCAGTCAACCGAGACGGTCCGGGCCATGGCTGCACTCCTGCATGCTATCAATCAGGAGGTCGGAGATCGGATCCTTGGGTTGCTTGGGAAGCGCTTTCCGGAGGTGGCAGCTGAACGCAAAGCGTGTGTTATTTCCGTTCTTGCTTCATTGTACAATGTTGATGATAACCCAGCATCATTGAGCACACCTGGCAGCACAATGCTCTGTATGATCAGCCAGAGATTGCAGGGTGTTGTGCCTATCTTAAGCATCATGCTTGGCTGTGTTTGGCCATTCAGGATGGCAGGGGTAACATTGTTCACATTGACATGAATGATGACCCCCATCAATTCACTGTTCTCTTCACCTATGGCATGTATACCCAAGGCTACTTTGTCATCCCCCAGCTCAACATCCACATTCCCCTCCAGCCTGGTCAGTTCTTATTTGTAAAGACATGCTACCTGGTCCATTATGCATCCCACTTTGAGGGTGTGCAGTATGTCTTCCCAGGCTTTATGGATGCCAACCTGTGCAAGGATTATAGAGAGTGGAAGAAGAAGCAGTAATAGACATGTTTTTCACCTCACCATCTTCTTTGCCTTTGTCATTTGCTTTCTCTGTCTTGGGATATCCATTAGGAAATCCATGGGTGGCATAAGCATCATACCCAGACTATGTGCTGCACAGGTATGCATGTAACATGCACCTACTATTTGTATAGGCTGACCTTATAGAGTGCTCTGTGAATATACCTGAGCATAGTGGGCTCATGCTACTCAACTCTGCTTTGATGCCCCATCCTCATGTCCAATCAACTTCCCTCCCTTTATCCAACTGTATGATCTCTCTGGATTTGCATGTGACATACTTGGCACTCAGCCTGCTTCCTGGCTGTGCAACATAATCAGCATTATCAGCTTCACTCCCCATGCTGGGTGCACCACATGTGTCACCTCCACTTTACATGTTCCTCCTGTTAGTGTCATGTATGAAACCCCTCTTGTGAAGCATCTCTATATATGCAAGCAAGATGTGTCAGCTTGATGCATGCTTTGACCTCAATGTCTGTTATCTTCACTGGAATCATTGGCTGTCAGTCCTGGCATCCCTCTGTGGCTGGCTCACATTCCTGGACATGTACTGCTGCCATCCTCCTCCCAGCCCATGCTGCTGTGCCCCTCATGATCACTGAAGAGGAGCTGCAAGGTGTCCTCTGCTACTTTCCTCCCCCTGGGGCAGCTGTCCCCCCTGAAGAAGGGGTCTACTTTGCATCAGCCAAAATGGCTTCTGCAACTCCTGCCCTTGTGATGGGTGAAGACATCCAAGGGCTGGAGGTGGAGTATGAGTTGGACACTCTTGTGGTGGGTTCTGTCAGTTGCTGTGCCCTGCTCTCTCATCACTCACAATACAACACAGCTCCTCCCTCAGGCTTTCAAGCAGTTTGAGGTGGCACTGACTATCACTGTGATTGGCTGCCCATGCAACATTGTCAACCAGATGTTTGACCTCAAGGCTCAGCCATACATCTTCAATGGGAAGCAGGTGGCATGCTTTGGTTGCTACTTCTCAGAGGAGGGTCACTTTGCCAGGAAGGTTCCAACCATCAACCAGACTGCCCTTCTATCCATCACAGGATTGCTCATGGGCACTGCCCTTCCCCAAGAGGGGAGTCCTGAGGGCCAGCTCTCCTTATGAGTATGTAACTCCTCCCTTGATATGTGAAGATGTCACTTAACAACCCTCTCAGATCCTGGACCTTGAGTTTATAAACCCAGCCAATACAGCAGCACCCTCTCCTGCTCCTGTCACACCAGGCAAGTGGTCCAGCTTCTTTGCTCCCTGTACCAGTGTTGGAAGGCCTGCCCAACCCAGCACAGCAGTAGCATTGCCCACACCAAGCACCAGCACATCCCTGGGACTGAACAACCCCTTCACAATGTCCCAGAACAGCGAGGGCAGCCTGCCTGCTGGTGGGATTAATACTGCAGCAGCACCAGGTGGTTCAGGGGATTTGTCAGCAGGCTTGGCAGGTTCTCCTTCTCAGAGGTGGATCCAATGCAATTGAATATGACATGTTCCTCCACCACCCATCATTTCTGTCATACCCTGTGCAGACCTGATTCAATCCCCCTGTCCGGAATGTATTTGGTTGTCCTTCATCCATACAAAACCACTTGAACCCTTGCTCTATGCATGGTAATTATGATGCATCATATATGGAGTTGACCTGTGCCTGTCCATGGCCATGCCATGCCTTGAACATCTGAGCAGGAGCATGCCAGATATGCCTGGCTTGCTGTCAACCCAAATTGGGTGCAGCAGAGATGTGAGCAGGCTGCTTACCATCAGGCAGCTCAAAGAGCACAAGAAGCACCTGAGGCCCATGCCCATTGCCTTACTCAGGACCATGCCCAGTGTCAGCAACAACAACAGATACATGAACAGCATGCTTGGTGGTTGACCTTCCCAGCAAGCTCCACACCCCAAGGACAGCAGTGTGCTATCTCCACATGGAATTGACAGTGCAATCTGTGTGGTGCTGCACTTCTCAGGTGTGGGTTGGTCTAAACCAAAGACTATCAGGACTCATTGCTATGCAGCAGTGAGGCAGACACCTTCTGCTGCAATCATGGCCAGAGGCATCTACCTCCTTTACCACCACTTCCACCTGAATATGCCATGTTGCTAGCCAGCCCTCACATCTCCTCACTCTCCCACAAGCTAAATGGCCTTTTTGCATTTACAGCAATTGGGATGACTGATTCATTTGTCTCAAACCTGGATGCACCATCCAATGTCATCCTGACAGGGAGGACATATCATCACATGCTTGATGTGGCTGATCCTTCCCACTCAATTCATTGGTTTCTGTATAATGAGCAGGAGCAGCATGCTCAAGGTCATGCTCATGGGGTGCCTGATGGGTGGTTGCTGGCTGTCCATGCAGCCCTGGTCCAGCACAACCCATATGTGCATAACCTTCTTCAATTTTGTGAGGAGGCAGACCCAGGAGTCACAGTGCTGGAATTGCCAGAGCACACAGCAGGAGGAGACTTTGCTGCTATTCTGCATGCCAACAATTTGACAAGAATGCACCCTCAGAGTATTGTGATCTGACATCTTGGTATGTCTCTTTCTTTCAGCTCTTGCTGAAATAAACATGGCTCATATTCCCTATCTCAGGCCATGTTAGGGTGTTAGGGCAACACAGGCTGACTAAGTCTGCTCACCTAAGAGTGCCAAGAGTCTAAGCAGGCAACAAGGAAGTGGAGTAGACCTGATGACTAAGACCTATCTACAGTATAGGTATCTGTGGATGATCCTAAGAGACCAAGTCTGAAGAGACAGTCCCAGGCAGAGTAGGCCTTATATTTATACCTCTGTGGTGGAACCTGCTAGAACATCTTGCTTACTCAGCCTAGTCAGGTGATCAGGTCATATGACCAAGGATGAGGTCATATGAGGTCATGCACAGCCATGCACAGC